GATTGCACAAAGCACTAATTTTAGCACATCTTTTACCCCATTGTCCTTTGGGGGCTATAGGAGCCCCTAATCATCTGTTAAGTGCCCCCCTGGAGTTCACTGTCAGCGGTGGGCAGGGTGGATTCTTTCTCCTGTGCCATTTAATCTGATGTGAATGCCATTGGCAGAATGTAATAAGACTCAGTAACTGTCAGGATGTTAGTGACTGTCCACACATTTGAACTTGCTTATCAGGTCCTGGAACTGCCTACATCTGCAGAAGATAATTTCTGTATAGTTCATGGAAAGTATTATGGCAGTCTCAGTGGAATTTACCGCATTTAAAAGTATAGCGTAGGTCATATATCTTTTCCACCTTTTGGTGTTAAATGTAATGAAATTCTGAATACAGGTGGAAAGTTGAAACTAGCAGTTATTTTGCATTGTGCTATATGTTTGACAAGGTTCATATATTCATTTTTCTACAAAAGTCTGTTGCAAATCTAAATGACATTTTTAACTATAAGTATTGTCTTGCCCAGGACATATTTTTTAATAAACGATTATTTATTTTTAACATTTATTTACCTATTAATACTTACTTGTGATTTTGGAGCTGCCAGGTCAGGGACTTGAACCGCAGTAAACCATGTGGGTGTTCAGTACCTCAAACACCATGCCACCTCCTGGCCCCACCTAAAACATTTTTAAGAGTAAATTATTTTAATATTGAGTTGTCAGAAAAGTCATGATGTGTTTTAGCATGGAAAAACTATGTCATGACTTTTCAGACAACCTAATATAATTGAGCATGCTTAATATTATTTGTAAATATAAATGTAAGTATATTCCTTATTAAGAAAATGAAAAAATGCCAGAATTGTTTGTAGCTTTTTCTCTCCTTATATAGCAAATGGAGAAAGACTGCAGGAACACTTGTAACCAGGGAATGTTGCTGCCTACATACAAAATTTTTAGATCCAGAGAATTCATATTTCAAATCAAACGGAGGAGGTGAAGAGTTCTCATTTCCTAGTCCCAGGGAAGCTAAGTGGTTTATGGAAATGTATGACTCCACTAACGCCCCTTAATTTGAAGGTGCTGGGTTTGAAGGACTGCAGTCATCTTGGGGTTGTTTTTAACCCCATTGTTTAAAACCAGCTGTACCAGGAATCCCAGTTTCACTTCTGAGTTGCAGCACCAGGAGCACCTTAGGCTATAGTAGCTATCTGAGCTGAGCCACAGGAGCTGTGCAGGGGCCCAGCCCACCTTCCAATGCCAAACTGGATTCTTAAATTTGTATCATTTCTCCAGCTTTTGTGGTGAGTACAGTGTAGTCCCATCTTACCTGGTGGTTAGGTTCTAAAGTTGGTAAGGCCCAAGTCACATTAACTAAAAGAAGTCATAGTCATATTATGCCCCATCAACTCTCAGGTCTGGCAGATTACTTTTTGTCCAGTGGTTGAATAGATGGCTAGAGTGATTCTTCAGCTGAGTGCAAGCTGTGGTCATAGACAGGCTTGGGTTGTAGAAGCTGTATGTGTTTATAAAGTATTTCTGACCAAGTGCACATAGTTGAATGCTGTGTACTTTGAGTCAGTGATGTGACCACTGTAAAGAGACTGAAGATCAACATAGAACGAAACTGCAGAATCGGAGAGGAAGCTAGAACACTTGAAGCAGAAAAGGAGCACACATATGAAAAAGGAGGCCTCATAGAAAGCAATTTTTTTTTGGAGAGGTTTTTGCTATAGGGTGCATGTGCTCGCCAGACAGACAGACACAGACAGACAGAAAGTGAGAAATCTCCCCCCAGGGGGAATGGCCACGCCGCAATCCCTTCTCCTCCATTCTCCTCTCGGGATCTTGGGCACGCACGCACACGCCCCCAGCGTGAGTTTTATTTAAGCCACCGGGTCCAGGATACGAACCACGGTCGACTACATGGGAGCCCAGCGACATAGCCATTACGATAACTGCTGGTCCTGAAAGCAAAATATATTTGACATCGGCTTTTTTCTCAAGATTCTCCAAGACTAAAAATGAGAATAAATAAGAACACACTAGAAAGCTGTTTGAGATGAAAGAAGTATGGATGATATTAAGTGACTACAGCTGATTATAAAACATGATTGAGCATGCTTAATATTATTTGTAAATATAAATGTAAGTATATTCCTTATTAAGAAAATGAAAAAATGCCAGAATTGTTTGTAGCTTTTTCTCTCCTTATATAGCAAATGGAGAAAGACTGCAGGAACACTTGTAACCAGGGAATGTTGCTGCCTACATACAAAATTTTTAGATCCAGAGAATTCATATTTCAAATCAAACGGAGGAGGTGAAGAGTTCTCATTTCCTAGTCCCAGGGAAGCTAAGTGGTTTATGGAAATGTATGACTCCACTAACGCCCCTTAATTTGAAGGTGCTGGGTTTGAAGGACTGCAGTCATCTTGGGGTTGTTTTTAACCCCATTGTTTAAAACCAGCTGTACCAGGAATCCCAGTTTCACTTCTGAGTTGCAGCACCAGGAGCACCTTAGGCTATAGTAGCTATCTGAGCTGAGCCACAGGAGCTGTGCAGGGGCCCAGCCCACCTTCCAATGCCAAACTGGATTCTTAAATTTGTATCATTTCTCCAGCTTTTGTGGTGAGTACAGTGTAGTCCCATCTTACCTGGTGGTTAGGTTCTAAAGTTGGTAAGGCCCAAGTCACATTAACTAAAAGAAGTCATAGTCATATTATGCCCCATCAACTCTCAGGTCTGGCAGATTACTTTTTGTCCAGTGGTTGAATAGATGGCTAGAGTGATTCTTCAGCTGAGTGCAAGCTGTGGTCATAGACAGGCTTGGGTTGTAGAAGCTGTATGTGTTTATAAAGTATTTCTGACCAAGTGCACATAGTTGAATGCTGTGTACTTTGAGTCAGTGATGTGACCACTGTAAAGAGACTGAAGATCAACATAGAACGAAACTGCAGAATCGGAGAGGAAGCTAGAACACTTGAAGCAGAAAAGGAGCACACATATGAAAAAGGAGGCCTCATAGAAAGCAATTTTTTTTTGGAGAGGTTTTTGCTATAGGGTGCATGTGCTCGCCAGACAGACAGACACAGACAGACAGAAAGTGAGAAATCTCCCCCCAGGGGGAATGGCCACGCCGCAATCCCTTCTCCTCCATTCTCCTCTCGGGATCTTGGGCACGCACGCACACGCCCCCAGCGTGAGTTTTATTTAAGCCACCGGGTCCAGGATACGAACCACGGTCGACTACATGGGAGCCCAGCGACATAGCCATTACGATAACTGCTGGTCCTGAAAGCAAAATATATTTGACATCGGCTTTTTTCTCAAGATTCTCCAAGACTAAAAATGAGAATAAATAAGAACACACTAGAAAGCTGTTTGAGATGAAAGAAGTATGGATGATATTAAGTGACTACAGCTGATTATAAAACATGTATGTGTAATTTTGAGGAAAATATATCCATAAATGTTACGAAGTTGTTTCAGTTTCTAGATGAATGATCTACTTGCTATACGAGAACAAGTGTTTCATTTAGGGATTTAACATTCTTGTATTTTTAACTATTCATAAGTAACTTGGACAAATCGGGACGTGCAGAGGTGTGTGACTTCACTGATTTGGATACAGTAGTCCATTAGCTAGAAAACGTGCCTTGCCAGCTGCCTAGCCTACCAACCTCAGGACAACTGTGCTTTTCTTGAACGTTCTTTTTTCTGCAGTGCTTGCGGTGAGCTGGTGAGTGCTGCTTCCCTATAAATGTGGCAAGTTGAAAGAAAGTGAACTAAATTAAGATGGGTATTAAAACTGAATAGGCTGGGGGCAGCAGGTGGTGTGGTGTTTACATTGCTGGACTTCCACATGATTGACTGCACTTTGAGTCCCAGACTTGGTGTCTTGAAAATCATGCCAAATGCACGTGTGCACATGTTTTAAGGTCCCAGGAGGAGAAGGGATTGCGATGTGGCCCTCTCCACTGGAGGATGATTTCTCACTTTACCTCTCACTGTTTCTCTGGCAAGTGCACACACCCATGGCAAAAATCTCTTAAAAACAAACAAACTACTGAATAGTTCTAAAATAATGACGACCATTCTACCCAAAATAGCTTAATAATACTGACCATTCTACCCAAAATAGCTTAAGGAAATGATTATAAAAAGGGGTAACATTGAAACCTTAAGCATGTGAATTCATTTTGCTGACAGATTGTAAAATGTTTGCATATGTAGCTCTGGGTGTTTGATGTGTTAAAAAGGGAGGAGGTCCTTGGGCTAGGATGTGTCCTGGTGGTGAAGGTGCAGGATTCCCGTATGGTGAACCATGGTTTGAGTGCCAGACTTGGGGGCTTGAAAATCTCAACAAACAATAGATAAATAAGTAAATTTTTAAAGGGGGAAGGGGTCTTTGACAGGAACAGTTCTCATTTTAAATTTGAAGAGAAATTAGCCAATAATATACACAGGATCGAAAAAGATGATGTTTTTCTCCATTGCAAATAGCAGGGTCTTCTGTATTAATTTATTCCAGGAAAATGTGCTATATTAAGTAGGCTTCTACTAATTTTTAAAGAAGAATCTAAGGACTTTGAAATCATATATGATTTTGAGTAAATAGGAAATCAAAAGCTTTCTTATATTTTAACAGGATGATTATCTAAATATAGGCAAGGAGCTGGAGAGTTCCATAGAGGGTGACTAACTATAAATGTATTATACATGACTGGAAAGTAATGGCAAGGAAGACTTCAGAGCTGAGCTATCTCGATATTTTTATCCAGTGTGTGGGGTGTTACACATGCATCACAGCTATAATAGACCTATCACACGGATTGCTTGAAAAACAAGATAGAGAGATTTCAAAGGCTTCTGCGCTTGATTTCTTAGATACCGCTTTATTTGGCGTTTAACACCTAGAGTCAGAATCCAGATATTAAAAGGTGAATTGTTTTAAATAACTGAGGTATAGTAGAGAAGTAATTTATTTAACATTATTTCAGGAAATGGAAGATAAAGTGACTAGTCCAGAGAAAGCTGAAGAAGCAAAATTAAAAGCAAGGTATCCTCATCTGGGACAAAAACCTGGAGGTTCAGATTTCTTAAGGAAACGATTGCAAAAAGGGGTAAGTTCTCATATAACATTGAAATGCTCAAGCCCTGTGAACTCGACAGTGTGTATGCGTGTTTGCACATGTGGCTCTGTACTGTGTCAGGCATGAAGGTGTGTCTGTCGGTATGTTTTTGTCATTGTTTACATGATCATTCCATAAAAATGTTTAAGGATTTACATACAGCTCTTGAACATTTTGAATAATAAACTATTTGAAGCTTGATATTACAGATAATAACAAAACCACACACCTGCTACTCAGGTTTAATGTTAATGTTTTGCCATGTTTACTTCTGTTTTTGAAAGATAAAAGATGTAGATACATAGATGAAATTTATCCTGTATGTAGATGTAACCCCTTTTCTCCATTTCTTCAAAAGCAACTACAATCCAGAAGCTGGTATTTATTCAGTCCATAGTTTTAAAGTTTTACCTATTTTAAAGGTAATTTCCACACCACTTTACGTGGGTAAATGGTCACTTATGAAAACAGCTTTCTATAAGGGAGATCACTCCTTTATGTAACACATTTTACAGTCAGTTACCCTAGTGCAACTTATATGTTGAAGTTTTAGTAGTTCAAATTACTGAAAACATTCTTTTAGATCTTGTCATGCTTTGTGATGTAGAAAACTATTCTCTTTAACACTTGTTTTATTGAAAACAATAAAATACAGAACACCAGATTCTTGTTTCAAAGTAAAATTGAGGACATTTTCTAGACCTTTCCTACTACTGTAACATTCTCTTCACTATTTAGTAACAAAACCACGTCTGAGACCAAAAATAACCCGGTTGGTGAACATACTTCTCATGGTTCAAGCCCCTACCTAGTTATTTTTCTAAATAGAAGCCATTATTTCTCAACTGGCAGTTGAGATAATCCTGCATGTTTATTCTTTAGTTTTCTAACCTTTTTTTTTTTTAATAGAAAATTATGAAGTTTCATTTTCAGCTTATGTGCATTTAAATTATTTACCATACAGGAAACAAGGAAGGGATGAAAAATTTTTATAGCAGAGAATTATTTATTGGCTGAGATGCCAAATCATGTTTCTCCTTAAGTAAATACCTTAAATATACTGTTATCTAATGCTTGCTTATAAAAATGTGTGTATGTATATTAACCATAATTATACATGGACTTTTTTTTAATAAACCAAACTCTGAAAGGATATTTTAAGTTATATTGACATTATTTTTTAAATAGTAAAAAGTAGATTGGTATTTTAAATCTTAACATGAAAAAAAGACCTTTTTCAGCTTTGAAATAGGGAGACAAAGAAAAATAATAGCAAATATATAAATAATGTAAAACCTCTGTATCATGAGATACAATCCAGTGGGAAAATTACATTTTAAAAGGACAATATCTCATTCATAAAAGGGAGCTTTTGTATATACAAGAAAAACATTAAGATGTCCCTGGTTAAAATATTTTAATAGGAAATATGTATGTGCATGATAGAAATCAATAAAATGTTAAATTTATTCATATATCTACAACTTAGAAACATACTTAAAACAATTCATATTAGTGAACTGAAGTTGAATGAAATTAATATGCTTTTTGTGTAAAGCATTTAAAAATTACTCATTTTGGAAAAGGTATGGATTAAGATTTATAATGTCATGTTCTTTAATAATCTTACGTATTAATCTATGGATATGATTCAGGAAAAGGAAAAATCTTGCAAGTTTAAAACCATTCTTTTTACCTTTATAACTAGAAGCAGCACTATTTAACAGCAGAGAAATAGTTAAATAAATTACAGGAAGTCAAAAAACAGGATATTATATGGTCATTTAAAAAACAAAGATCATAATATAGGGGATAAATAGGAAAAGAATAAGTATCTTCAAGTCAGAATATTATCTTAAATTTGAGAAGTGAGCTCCTGAATGATTCTGCATTGTACCAGCATGTCAGTGAAAAAGTCTTTGTTATTAGGGAAAATAATTTTTTTTTAATCCTGGATCATGTTCTGAGTTTTAGTTTTCTTTTTGCCAAATTACCTTAGCATCTTTAAACAGTTTCTTCTTTGTTTGAGAAGACCGAATTGGATATTTTATGTCCTTTTTTATGCTGCCGTACTCAGTGCTATTATGAGGTTATTACATAATGTTATTATTGGACTTTAACAGTTATGACCCTATCCACAGGGTAGGCTGTCAGAGCTGAGAGGGTTATTAAGAAGCAATCTAGTCCATTTTTTTTGCATATTTGTGGAGTTTGTGAAGCTTCAAGAAAACTGAGGATTCAGCTTTGGGGCTAGCAGGTTGTGGATCAAAACTGTGGTTTGAGTCCTAGACTGGGCAGCTTGAAAATCAAGCCTGGCGCATGTGCATACATGCCCAGTGTCCTGAGAGGAGAGGAGAATGGAGGAGACCAGATTGCATTGTGGCCACCCTTCTCCCCTGAGAGGATGACTTCTTTCTTTTGCTCTCTCCTTTCTCTCCCCCTCCAGCAAGCACATATGCCCTATCACCAAAAAAAAGAAACATGGCTTTAAAGTTAAACATTGTCACTTTACGTGATCACTGAGTGTCAAGTGCAGTTTGTCAGTAATAATGTTAGTGTGGTCTCCACATTTGCCTGAGAGAAGGCTTTTGTAAGATTGTCATCTGGATCATCCAGAATATGTTTTGTTGATTTAAAAATATTTTTTATTAAAAAGCTTCACAAAATTCAGAAATTAAGAGAGCTAAAATGCCCTCTGAAACTTTATCTGTAGATCCCTATATGAAAAACATTGATCTCGTTTACTCCTCTACTTTACGCATTAACTTCTTTTCTTTCTCTGACATCTTTGTTATAGTATTGTCTTCACTGAATCTCTGAAGATACATTCACTGCCTGTTTTTTTTTTTTTTTTTAAGAATTATTTACTTAATTTATTTTCATTCTTCAATCTGACCAGAGAGACACAAACACAGAGAAACGGAGAATGAGAAAACGCTGCTAGATTCAGGACTTGAACCATGGTTAGTCATGTGGGAGCCTAATGCCTTAATCACCATGCCCCCTGCCAGTCCCACTCACTGCTTTTTATAGTAGTATCTTGTTCCTTCTTAGGGCAGTTCTAGTGGTCAAGCATGAACTAGTTTTTTTCTGTAGCCACACTAAATGAATTTAATCTCTTTTCTACAAGCAGAGTAGCCTAATCTTTCTTAAGTGAGATATTCTGTGATGATTTTTTTTTTTAATCGTTTTTAGAGGTTTGTGTCACAGGGCATGTGCACTCTCCAGAAAGACAGAGAAACAGATAGTGAGAAATCACCCCCTGGGGGGAATGACCATGCCGTAATCCCTTTTCCATTTTTCTCCTGGGATCTTGGGCATGTATGCACACACACACCTGGCATGATTTTCAAGCCACTGGGTCTCAGACCCAAACCGTGTGGGCCATATGGGAGTCCAGTGATATAACCACCACACCATCTGCTGGCCCTGTGATGAATTTTTGTTTACTATAAAATAGTTTTCATTAGAAGCTGAGTTAGTTAATTACATTGAAGGAAAACTGCATAAAATTTGCAGTGTGTGTTAAATTTTCACTTTGTGTTTTGTTAAAATAAATTTGGCAGGCTGCTTTGTTCTCTGTGGAGGCTTTTTTTTTTTTGAAGAGGTTTTCGCTATAGGGCGCATGCGCTCGCCAGACAGAGACATAGAGACAGAAAGTGAGAAATCACCCCCCAGGGGGGATGGTCACGCCGCAGTCCCTTCTCCTCCATTCTCTTCTTGGGATCTTGGGCACGCACGCACACGCGCCCGGCGTGAGTTTTAAGCGACCTGGTCCGGGACGCGAACGACGGTCGACTACGTGGGAATCCAGCGACATAGCCATTACGCTAACTGCTGGTTCCCTCTGTGGAGGCTATTAAACTTGGAAACAGAACTTTAGTATACAGTGCCTCGAAAGTTCTGGGATCTCAACCCGTGGTTGGTTACGTGGCCTCTAGGCTTGCAGGGCCCCTGCAGCACTATTGTGCTACAGCAGCTTGGCCTGAATTTCTCTCCCTCCCTCCCTCCCTCTTAAACTCATTTTAAGACATCACACAGAAGGGATCAACTGGTAGTGTGATGGGTAAGGTAGCTGGATCCACAGTGGCAAACTGCACCATTCCAGTTCTGGACCTGGCAGCTTCACAGACATGCCGTTCATGTGTGCAAACATGTATACATGCATGCCCAGAATCCTGAAAGCAGGGAAAAATGGAGGAGAACAGGTTACTGCATGACCATCTGCCATGGGGGTGCTTTCTCACTTTCCCTCTCTGTCTCTCTCTCCGGTAGTGCATGTGCCCTCTGGCGAATTAGAAAAACAGGACAGAAATATGCAGAAGTGAAGCTGCAGCGAGCCCCAGAAGGGCCTGGTTTAGGTTTTCTTGTTACTGATCCATAGGACACATGAAAAGCAAATTCTGACTTTAGACCCTTTGACCATAAGCCACATCTGGCTTATCAAAGAACGGTCCCCAAAGGGAGGCAGCTGAACAGACCTTTTTCCTTGGGCCACTCAGCAATCTTATGTTAAAGCTGTGAGTTCCTGGATCAGCAAATGGCCTAATGGTTACATCACTGGACTCCCACGAAGTTGACTGCTATTCAAGTCCCAGACCCAGTGGCTTAAAACTCAACACCAGGCTCGTGTGTGTGTGTGTGTGTGTGTGCGCCCAAAATCCTCAGAGGACACTGGAGGTGAAGGGCCCAAAATCCTCAGAGGACACTGGAGGTGAAGGGATTGCAGCGTGGTCATCCCCCCTGGGAGTGATGTATTGCTTTCTCTCTGTGTCTCTGGCAAGCACACCTGCCCAATACCAAAAATCCCTCTTAAAAAAAAAAAAAAAAAGAAAAGAAAAGATGGGACCAGCAGTTAACATAATGGCTATGTCGCTGAACTCCCATGTAGTCACCCGCTGTTCAAGTCCCGGACCCGGTGGCTTAAAACTCACGCCGGGCGCGTGTGCGTGCGTGCCCAAGATCCCGAGAGGAGAATGGAGGAGAAGGGATTGCGGCGTGGCCATCCCCCCTCGGGGGTGATTTCTCGCTTTTTGTCTCTATGTCTCTCTCTGTCTGTCTGGTGAGTGCACGCACCCTATAGCAAAAATCTCTCAAAAAAAAAAAAAAAAAAGAAAAGAGGTATTTTGTGAATCAATAAAATGGGGGGGGATTTTTCAGTGGTATTGTTAACACATACAATCATATTAAAAGAAAAAAAAGCTGTGAGTTTCCAGTTCTGTCATTTTAGAAAGAAAACTGTGAGTTCCTAGTTATGTCGATTACCACATGAGGTATCTCCAAAGTCCGAGAGAACATTCTTATTTTTTTCCCCTCATCCTTCATCTAGGCTTTCATTTCATACCAGGTTGTTTCCTTTTGTCAGCCTCAGACTGAGGTTAGATGCTCCTGCCTTGATTATCCTTTGTGTTTTTAGGACAGTATTGTGATTGTTGGTTTACTTGACGTTGTCCATCTTCGTATCTCTCTCCAGCTTACACAGCGCCTCAGGTGCAGCACACCGTAAAGATGGGCTACACGTGCCAGGTGGAAGTCAGGATCCAGGCAAATTCGTGTGTTTTTACTATGAAACTCGTAGATTAGCTGTATTTAGGTTGATCTTTACCTGCCATCATAATTTGTATTTTAGTGATAAAGGGCAATTAGGTACTTCTTTAGTGCTTTTATGTGAAAAATAAGGGAGGATATGGTAGGGGTGTGCATTTTAAGTGATAATCTCTACTGAGTTCATTTTTTCCCATTGCTCTAATTAATTAGCATTTATATTTTTTACCTTAATTTTGATTTTAGTGAACGTTCTACTTCAAATAAATATGATTTAGATGCTTTTGAAATGCTCATCATAGGGGCTGGCAGGTGGCGTGATGGTTAAGAGTGCTGGACTCCTACATGGCCAGCCACAGTTCGAGTCCTGGACCTGGCGGCTTGCTTTCTCGCTTTCTCTCTCTCGCTCTCTCTCTCTATGTCCTTCTCTGGTCAAATTTAAACAAATAAGTAAAGTTAAATAAAAAGTAATTCTTGGGGCCAGCAGGTGGTGTGGTGGATAGGGGCACTGGACTCCCACATGGCCAACCACGGTTCAAGTCTTGGACCTGGTGGCTTGCTTTCTCACTTCCTCTCTCTCTCTCTCTGTCTCTCTCTGATCAAACTGGAAAATAATAATGATAATAATAATAAGTAAAGTTAAATAAAGTAATTCTTTAAAAAAAAGTAATTCTTTAAGAAACAAAATAATGCTCACCCTAGATGATTGTACTAGCTGTTATAATTAATAGTCTTAATAACTGTAGAGTTGGCTGGGCTTGGGTGACATACATATCCTCAGTACAGATTGGTCAATTATGTGGTTTTCTTTTTTAAATCATCTAATTAAGTAAGATAAGACTTTCATTTTGGTTGTTCTGTTAGTAAATGAGAAGTTTTCATTTCACTGTTTTGAGTCTAGGTCGTCTTATTCCCAGGTAACATGACGTCAATCTAGAGGAATCTGTATTAGCAACTATTGGGTTGTCAGGAAAGTCATGACATACTTTTCTGGTTTCCTATGCAAAAATGTGTCATGGCTTTTCTGACAACCCAATAAAATGGTCCAAGTGAGTCTGAAGAAGAGGTTCTTGCCTGATTCTCAGTTATTGGCTTATGCTGGAAGTCAACACAGAGACATAACTATTCCATATAATATTCCTGTTCATTTTAACACCAGTTTATTTATACTGACACTGTGTAGGATGACATCTACATCTTAAATCAGTATGATGTATAAGAGTTCTTAAACTCTAATCTAAAATTTTTTTGTTTCACTTTTAGCAAAAATATTTTGATTCTGGGGATTACAACATGGCCAAAGCAAAAATGAAGAACAAGCAACTTCCTGCTGCCGCCCCGGATAAGACAGAGGTCACTGGTGACCACATTCCGACTCCACAGGACCTTCCTCAGCGGAAACCATCCCTTGTTGCTAGCAAGCTGGCTGGCTGATTAAAAGAGCTGAACTGCATGAATCTTCTAATTCCCATTCTTTCCTCTTAATATGTTACCTAACCCACTTTTTATTTCTTTTCATTCACCTAAGTCATTTGAAACTGACAGCTTTGCAGGTAGCGGTAGTGTGTGCTGCTATTGTAAGGGAATATACATGTGTAGAGTTTTGATTAGCTTAACAGTGCACTGATGAAAAGAACATGTTAGAGCAACAGAAGTAATCTACTTGAAAATAATTGTATATATTACCTAACTCCTTGTGTAGGACTAGTTCCAACAAGTAACAAGCAAGTTTTATGATTTTAATGTTTTGGCTTTCTTTACTTCATCTAAATTACAGCTTTGTATGTTACTCTTTATTTAATATAATCTCTGTTTTATTGATTTCTTCTGTATTTTCCTTTGGAATTTTGTAAAACAGATGTTTAAGACCACAAGTTGGAAGGAAGGTCACATGCTTCAAAAACAAATAGATGGCTCTCTGAGAGATTTGTGTTTCTGTGCTTGAACTTGAATGGCCTTAAACCTGTTCCAGCTTTAACAGTAGTATTTTACTTGGGCAATATTTGCCCATTCTGGTGTAACTTATGCGACTCTAGTGCTTAGCAGCTGCCGTTGAAGCTAGTGTTCTTACTCGGTTCTGTAGTCTTGGTAGTCTTAGAACACCTTGTGTTGTTAAAGATGTGAATGAAGTGTGCATGTGCATTGACTGTTGAATTCACTTTTGTGCCATTTTTGTAAATATAATAGTTTTGCACAACCTCTCACAAATGTCTGTATTAATTTCACATATTAAAAAGTAGATAATGTGCCAACTAGAAGCACAAGAATTCCTACACAAAACTCTGTATGTCATTATGGCTTTTGTATAATAAGAGCAGTTTACAATCCTGGGCTTATAGAATACCAAACAAACCTTTGCACAGTCTGCTGTAGGCTTAAGTTTCCATTTGTTACTAATATCCATGACAGTCAGTGGCCTTGTGCAAATACGATATGTTGCTTAGGCATATCTTCTGTCCTATGCAGAACATTTCACTTTGACTTTTATGAAAATTTATAATTTATATAAACTTTTTAAAATGTAGAGATTTTTTACTTCCACTCAACTTTGGGGATACTCTGCCTTCTTTGGCTCCCTGCCCTCTTCCCTCCCCTTTTGTTTTTGTTTTGTTCTGCTTCTTTGGCTCAAATAGTATGGGGCTCTTTGGTCTATATGGAGGCATGGGTATCTATATCCTTATTCTTTAAATTTGCTCTGCTGAATGCTGTATTTTTGTAACACAAGGATGGTGTTTTCCTTCTAATTTCTTAGATGCTAATTAATCACTCTTAATCCCTTATTATTACTAATATTTGACACTGTTTAAAAATAACTTAAAAGGAAAGGAATAGTGAAGAGACTGGCCCGAGAACCTATGTCAAGGTGAACTGAATTCTGGTAAATAATTTTAAGTAATTAAGATGAGCTAAAGACTTGGGACAATTAGAGTAATTTACAAGTTAGTTAAACTCACTCATATTGAAAGTAGATATTGCTTCTATAGATGTCACTTTTTATAATACCAGTTTAACTTGTGGGTTAGTTAGTAAGAACTTTAAAAGGCTATTGGGAAACATTTACCACTCTTCGGAGCTCTTCCTGAAAATGGTGATGGCTGTAGCATGATGATGAGTCAGTAGCCTGAGATGATACGATCTTCTCTTTGACTTGCACAAAGCCTCCCTCTTGGATCTAGGACTCTTCTCTGGACCTTGGGTCCATTTATGTGTTTGCTTTCCTGCGATCCCAAGATGTAGTATTGATAGATGGTGCCTTGACAGCACCTGTACTTCCAGGCTTCCTAGTGCTCTGAGGAAAGCGTGCTGCTTATCTTCCTGCTCCTAATCCCCTCAGTACGTGCTCATTTATAAGTTTAAGAGTTAGCTATACATAAATTTATTTGTAACGAGAATAGATAGGTTATTCTGCAGTATGTATGCCCATGTAGGATTGATTTAAGAATTTGAAAAAATATCTCAAAGTAGAATTTCTGTTATATCTAGATTTTTTTTCCATGAATATTTGCAAGCAGTCAACATTAAATACATCAAAGGAGATGGATCTGAAAGATGAGGGAGACTTATTCTTAACCATGAAAGGACTCCTTGCAGTTGGGGACAAGTGACATAACATCTGCTTGAGTTCTAGTTTGTAAAATACAGTGCTAATATTTAACCTACCTCAAACCTTGTTGAGGATCTGTGAAATGCTGAGCAAGTGCCCAGAATAAAATATTGATGATGTTTTTATTAAAAGTAATTTACTTCATTAAGCCAGCTTGCCTTCTGTAAAGTCACAGTGCTTAAAATCTCAGGATTCTTCATTAGGAAAAATCTGTCGTAAAAGATTTATGGGTGTAATTGCTTAGCCTCCATTATTGGTGCTTGGGATAGACAGGTGAATTCTTCTATTTTTTGTTGTTTTGCTCAAGCTCAGTTTATCAAAGACATAGTCTGTTTTGATCATCACTGGAGTGAAATTTTCGAGTCGAGTTTAATTGTCCATTTCTATGATTTCAAAGTTGTGCTTTGTGAAATGACTCACTTTAGTCATTATCCTGTTTAGCATAAATTAAGGTTGGAGTGAACTGAAGTTGGAGATGTTAACTATATGAAAACGGGCCAAAATCTGCAATTTCCTGATTTATGTCCAATAGCTCTTAATTTTGATAAACAGTTTTGGAAACATTTTATTCCTGAAAGCTACATCTGACTAAAATAATGAAAAGTTCTTGGCCAGTTGGGATAGCAGGCAGTAAGGATTGTTGGACTGTCTGGACGAATTGGAAGGAGCATGTTTTTAGTCTACGAGGTGTTCAGTGATACTGTGTTGACTTAAGCCACGTCTTACCTGTTCACTAAGGGAGGCCTGGTAAAGCCTTGTTAGTACTTCAATTAGTTAGAATTAATTTCTCTTTCCACTTGATGTAACAAAGCTATACCTCTAAGTATTTATGGATACTTATTACTAACTCAGACTCATATTCTTTCTCAGTTCAAATTAGTGGAGGTTTTTCAGAGCTGAATTATCTACTCAAATAGTGCTCTGAAGTGGGCTTTTGGAGTTCAGGAACAGGTAGCTTACGGGAAGAGCACTTGCAAGTGGTAGCTAAAGCAGTTTCTCTAGTGGCCTTTCCACATTCCGACATTTCTTTCACTAGTTTTTTCACCTCATTTTGCCTCCCTCTCCCATTGCTGCTTATCCTTAAGCCCACTAATGCCACTTATTTAATGGTATTTAAGGGCTGATGAATTCTTGATCTTTAATATCCTTCCCAGTATACCACAGTTAAGGACACTTTCCAAGTAGTAATTTGGGTAATGACTAATTTGAGTTCCTGTCCCAACTCAACTTCACATACACTGCCAGTCTTCCCTCCATCTTCTCCCACTGAGCCCGCACCCCATTTGTACAACTGGGATCAAAGATGTCTCACTCTGCTTGTTCATCTAAGGATCAAAACACCAATTTTAACACTGTTACTAATCAGCCTCTAAGTAGGTAGGCCTATAAGTTTTATTCTTCAAATCAGTTGGCGGTGGTGAGAACCATTAATGTGTGTTTGTATTTTACTCGGCAACTAGCGGT